CAACACTCACGGAAGCAGCAGTCAAGGAATCAAATGATGTATTGCATTAGGCAAATCTGCTGCACAGGAACTTTTTAAAGTGTTGAAGAGCAAAGACGTCAGCTTGAGGACTAAGATGCGCCTGACCCAAGCCACGGTATTTTCAATAACCTCATATGCATGTGAAAGCTGGACAGTGAATAAAGAAGACCATAGAATTGATGCTTTTGAATTATGGTATTGGAGGAGAATATTGAAAGTGCCATGGGCTGCCAAGAGAACCAATAGATCTGTTTTGGAAGAAGTGCAGCCAGAGTGCTCCTTAGAGGCCAACATGGCCAAACTTTGAACATATTGTCAGGAGGGACCAGTAGCTGGAGAAGGATATCATGTTTGGTAAGGTGGAGGGTCAGAGAAAAAGAGGAAGATCCCCAACGAGATGGATTGGCAAAGTGGAAGCATCAATGGATTCAAGCGTGGCAACAGTAGTGAGATTGGCCCAGGATCGGGCAGTGTTTCGTTGTGCTGTGCGTAAGGTCACTATGGGTCGGTACCCACTCGACGGCACCTAACAACAACAACAACAACTACAGAAGCGGATCACCAAGTCTTTTTCTCTGAGTCCCAGGTGGGTTTGAACAGCTAACCTTTGGTTTTCAGTCAAGCACATAACTGTGTGTGTCAGCAGAGCTCCTTTCTCACAGTTTAGGAAATCAGAAGTCCAGATTCAGGGAACCAGGTCTCGGGGAAGCTTTTCTCTGTCAGCTCCCAAAGGAGATTCTTGTCTCGGCTTCTTTAGCATTCTCACCGTTCCTTGGAGATCTGCACGTGGCATCTGTCTTTTCCCTTTGTGCTCACCTCTGTGGAAACTACTCTTGTTCTGTCCAACAGCACACTGACATGGCTGGGTGGCACGTGGTTGGTGATGTGCACCCACTCTGTGGCTTCATGGGAGAAAAGATCTGAAGATCTTCCATAGAGACTGCAGCCAAGAATACGCTACTAAACAACTCAAATCCATCACACTGGAGGCTTTAAGTTGAAATTGAACTGCATAGCATCTGAAACCATGACTAAGAAAATCTTATTCCCAAATCAAAAGACCCTCTCTCAGCTGGCCAGTGTTACCCCACCCCCATCAGACCGATGCGGTCCACACAGTTTGTGATTCATTGACTGACTTTCGGAAGTCATCACCACGTCTTTCATCCTAGTCTGGCAGCTGGTGGCTGTGAAGAGGTACATTGGCTGTGCATAGGCAGTGAGAGGCCTACCACTGAGTGGACAGCGCTGCGGATAACAGAGAGAGCCACATTCACAAGGTAAAGTCCAGCCACGTGGCAGGACTCAGACTCACCTCCTTTGCACTGCATCAATGCTGTGAACACACTGTTCTAGTCTGATAGGTCTTGGGTCCAGCTGGTTCCTACTCAGCCTCGGGACTTTGGATTAAAGTCCCTGCCTCAAAGATGAGGACATGGAGAACTAGAGCAGCTGCGGACTCTAGATTCATGGACAGAGAAAGGCTGTGTGCTGGTGGCCAGGTGCTGGTGGCCAGGAGGCAGGCTTGCAGAATGTGCCCTTTGGTTGTTTAAGTTATTATATATTCCTGAGTGTTTTTGTGTACATACCTTCCCCCACAAAAAAGCAAAAAATAAAACAAAACAAAACAAAAAAACCCCTAAAACCCAGAAGCAATAGAAGCAAATACTGTTGAATGGTGATACACAGAGGAGATCCTAATCACTGCAATGAAACGATGAGTGTAAAACCGTTGTTCTCCCATGTAAACTATCACTCAGTTCACAATAAAAACTTAAAAAAAAAAGTCCCTGCCTCAAGGAGCCTCTCCCCCTGCACCTCCATCCTTCCCTAACCTCCAGGTGGGCTGGTCCCACTGAGCAGCAACCATCCACTAAACGTCGTGTTCCAGAACTGGGATGGCCAATTCCAGGAACACACCAAGCATCAACTTGCCTCCCTTCCAATGACATGGGCAGCATGCATCCCAGTGATCATGCTAGCAGATGCCCTTATAAACAGGAAGACAAGATACAGACTACATGAATTGTTGGACCCCTGGGAAGTTCACACGGCTCAGGCACTTGGCTGTCAGCCAAAAGGCTGGAGGTTGGGAGTCCACCCAAAGATGCTGCGAGAGAAAGGCCTGGAGGTAAAAAAAAAAAAAAAAACCACACCAAAAACCAGTCATTGGAAGCTCCAGTTCTACCCTGACACACGTGTTGGGGTGACATGGATTGCCACAATGCCACCCAGAGGTGGGGCTGCTGTATGTACAAATACTTCCACTGGGCTTTATTGAAAACCTCACTGGGCAGAGAAAAACACACACACTTAATGGTTAAAATATCCAAATAGAATTTACTGCAACTTTTGTTAGAATTTGTGCTACAAGACATGTTGCATAGGAAACTATTTAAGCCCCTGAGGAGAAATAGTCATGGTTTAAGGTGCAACTGGTTTTGTTTCTTCTTTGGGGAGAAAGTGAGAGTGGTCTCAGGTGAGAATGATGGTGGGGAAGCAGACTTTAAAATGGCTTCGTGGGACAATTGGGCATAAAATATCTAATTGTTTTCTTCTGAGGGGTCAGCTTGTTGGTCTTCGGTTCCTGAATCAGTAGATGTGAAACAATATCTCAGTCTTATCAGGGATTATGTACGGATGGTGCTAAATCATTATAAACCAAGTGAATCACATTGGATGCCAAAAAGCAGATTTGGAGAATGAGATTCCGGGATCCCCAGCAGCGGTCCAAGAGCTGCAGACAAACCAACTGAGTTCTCGAATGCCCCTGGGCCACCTCTATAGATTTGGCAAATAGTTCGCCTATCCAGCCTGCTGATCCCAACTACGATGCAAGGCGGTAAGGGTGAGCTTGCCCCACACATTCAAGCTGACCTACAACCCTAGAGATGACAGCTAAGAAAGCAATACTTAGGCTTCCCTTTACTATTTATTTCCAAAGAGACGTGGGTGCACCAGGAAAGGAGAGGGGCTAGTTTTCTGATGAAACAAGAGGAGAATTCGGCAAATGGTAGCAAGCACCCCACCACCAGCATACGGCGGCATCGCTTCTGAGACCATCCAGTGTCTAGAATGAGCGTTAGAAAGGTCTCTGACTTGGGCGTGTCCACCTTGCTCCCGAATGGCATTGTTCTTTGAATGATGAATCACACCCAGGCAAGGCCCACTGTTATGAATGAGAACACTGCCCCTTTAAAGAAAACGTCAGCTCTCACCTGCTTTCTAACCTACTGGCAGGGACATTTCAAAGACACCTAATCTCTACAGTTAGATCTAACTTTGCCCAGACAGGTCACAAAGGATTCATTCGTGCGGTGGATCATCATTTACTACCACGTGAGAAACAGGTATGGGGGAGAATTAACATAAACGGGAAGCAGGGCCTTGGGCATTCTCAGGAAGTCAAGAGCAAAGCTCATTTACTGACTGCTTGTCCTAGCTGATGAACCCATTTTACAAGTACAAACCGGAGAAGGTCCAACACATGGATAATGGCCCTCCCATGCGGAAATGCAAAGTGTGGTCAGAAATCAGAAATGCCCCGATGATCTTAAATACATATATACATCTGTAATATAATTTAAAAAGGTCTTTATACAACATAAAAACCTCAACAGCATCTGCCCCCACTGTTTGTTTGTTTGTTTTAAACTTTTATGATCCATTAAAAAAATTATACAACCTTTCTCATGTGTCCCTCCCATACCTTAAAAAAGTGATTTTAAATTTAAATTTATACTTAACAAATACAAAGCTGTTTGATTGGCAACAACCTGCAGTAGAAAATCCCCTCATCCTTCCCGGATGGAGGAAAAGGGTGGAGATGGTGTGTGCTTGGTCCTGGGTGTGGGTCCAGCCTGCAGGGACCCTCATGTCTGTCTGTCTGTCTGCGAGGATGGCTCTGCCTCCCCCACCCAGCTCCATGGTGACCACGTGGATGGCCAGCTCAGGTGTGGGAGGCGACCCACTCAAATCACAAAGTCATCGAAGTCCATGGGACTGAAGGCGGCGGCTCGTAGGATGTCCAGAGAGTTGACCAGGATCAGCGTTCCTGTGAGGTGTTTCCAGCGCTTGGTGATGGGGTTTTTCATCTTGTCCAGGCCAGTGTGCAGCTCCTGGATGACATCACGGTAGCTGTCCCCGATCTGCTGGCTCCAGGTCAACAAGAAGTCGTACGCTGGCTTCCACATGGCCTAGACATCACGCAAAACACAAGGAGGGAGAGGAGGCATCAGGGGGCAGTGAGAAGTTGGTCCTTGCACCTGCTACACGTGCACTCTTTTAAGTTTGAAATAGATGCAGATGAAATGGGGGGGGGGGACGGACTCTCTTTCTAAAGGGAGAGAACCGATTCAGAGAGAAGGAAGGGGTTTGGTGTGAGGATGCGTATTTATCAAATGCTGCCTGAATGAGGAGAAATCTTTCCTTACAATCCCTGTAGCATTTTCTATCTGGCCAATTAGGTAAGCAATTCTATGAGGCAATAATGTATTCTCTCCAACAACCAAAAATAGGTGTGTGGTTACGTAGGTATGTATATTTCTGATATGAGTATGGGTATATATGGGGGGGGGGCTTCACAAAGCTCATGAAAAACTCCATTAAGTTTTAATTGCATTGCCCACAAATTTTTTGAAGTCTCCCATCATGTGTGTGTATACATATGTATGTACATATAGATGCAGCTATGTGGATGTATCTATACATGTATGTGTGTAACCATGTATATTCACATATATACATGATAAACCACATGGGACAGAATTATAGGTACTTCTTAGATATCCCAACACCTGGTAGATTGGCTTCTTGGGTTTGAAGGAGTGGGATATTGGTGAGGAATGTCTGCAATATAAAAAGCGTGTGTACAGCCAGGTAAGATGCAATGATTGATCTAGCTCATCTTGTTCAGAGAGAAAGAGAAAGAAAGAAATAAACCAAAGACTCAGATAGAAATGAGTCTGAAGTCCACACAAGCCACAGCCTCATCTCTTGTGAGACCAGAAGGACTAGATGGTGCTTGGCTCTCACTAGAACATTTCTAATCAGATGGAGCCTGTAGGATGAGAGGAAAACATACAACGGAACTCAGCATTTTCCACAAGTCCAGACTTACTGCATCAGTTAAGACTAGAGGGCTCTCCCTTAAGATATTCCTTAGATTTAAAAACAAAACGACTCGCAGACGTCACTTTCCAGCTAAATAACAGATTGGCACATAAAATGAAAAATATCACCCGTGAGTACTGTGGTCTTTCAAAACCCACATGAGACCTAATGGTCCACATTTATCCTAAAGCAAAAATGAGACGGTAAGGGTGAAGGTGGGGGAAGGAGACTAGATGAATGGAAATGGAACAACCAGATAAGAAAAGAAGAAAATATTGATACATGGTCAAAAATGTAACCAATGTTACTGACCAATGCGTGTGGTACTTGTTAAACAGGAACTTAATTTTCTGTTTAAAATTTCACTGAAACCACAGCCAACAACAACAACAACAACAACAACAACAAATTTTAAATAAAAAGGGGGCATCCTTTCATATACTTGTGGGACTTTTGCTTTTCGAGTTCTTAGGAACACGAGTGTCTTTCAGGAAGCTAATGAAGTCATGTCCACACATCCAAATACAAAGAATCTCTCAGCAAAACCCTAACCGTAGCAGCTTCTGCAAACAAGATATAACATCCCGAGGATTTGCCCAACAAAGTTCCTGGGCAGAGGCCCAGAGGAAGGATGACAATGGGCTCTATTTATGTGCTTACCAAGGTGACTGGAGGTGATTTAAGATCAGAGGGGTAGGTGGCTCTTTGTATATCTTCCCCTGTCATGGCTGACAGACCTGCCGTCTTCAAAGCCAGTGCCCAGAATGAAGACACTGCTCACAGTGAGCCCCATGTGCCAGGCACCAGCTGCCAAGCTTCCACTCATGCCACCCTCAGAAGGTGTTTTTATTATTGTGGTGCACCATTTGGGGGCCCTGGTGGTGCAGTGGCTAAGTGGAACCCACCAGCTGCCCTCCCTGCTCCCATAGAGAAGCCTCGGAAACCCTATAGGTGGCTCCACTCTGTTGTGCAGGGTCGTTCTGGATCGGTTGTGGGTTGGGGTTGTAGGCTATCCGGGAGCACAGAGGAACGGGGAGTTAGCTAACACAGGAGCTCAGCCCCCACCACACTGGGGCACAGGGCTGTCTCCTCGCTGCTCACCTCGCTGTCCACCAGCCCGTTCCTGTCACGATGTGGGGACTCATACGCATCCATCTGTTGCTTAGAGACCTTGGCGAGCTTCTCCGCCAGCTCCCGCCAGCGCTGTGCCACCTCCACGGCTGTGGTCAGGAGCACAAAGTCCTGGATGAGAGTGACCACCAGCCCCTGGCAGTCCATCTTCAGTAAGGCCTGCAGTGGGAGAAGCAGATTATGAGGCAGGAGAGCTTTAAGACCAGCACATTTACTCAGGACCGAGCATCTTAATGCACACACCCGTGTTATTGGAAGGTGGGCTGGGGTGAGCAATATAAAAGAATTGTTTTTGTGACCTGCTCACAGTAGGAGAAACACTGGACTGTGAACCACCAGGTCGGTGGTTCCTGCCCACCAGCCACTCCATAAGAGAATGATATCGTATACTGTTTCTGCAAAGATTTACAGCTTTAGAAACCCTACATAGGGAACCACCTCAGTAGCACTTAATGACAACAAAGGCGTTAGACTGGGTGGTGGCTCCCAAACCTCTAGCCGCACACCTTAGCATCTCAGAGTTCTGCAATCGAAGACACGCATCATGGACTGATATCGGGATGAGTCCCGGGTTCCAGAGGGTGGCGTGTGGCTACCAATGTAGTTAGCCAGAAGGAGTTTGAGGTCCTTTTTCGAGTTTTATAAACTGTTAATGAACATGCCACCCTGCCTGTCAGTGCGTTGTGCTGTCATGGCTGCTGTGATGCTGGAAGCTATGCCAGCGGCACTTCAAATGCCCGCAGAGTCGCTCATGGTGCACTGATTTCAGCAGAACTTCCAGAGAGATGAGGAAGAAAGTCCTGGTGATTGATGTACTCTGATGAAAACCCTGTCAATCACAACAGAATACTGTGCGACATGGTGCTGGAAGCCACTCTCCATAGATGGGACAGCCCTCAAGATACAGAGTGGTTGTAGTAATGGACTCATGCCTCTCACTGAATGGATGTGAGGGTGGCTGAGGACCAGAACACAAGTGGATGTAGCCACCACCAAACCATACACTGGACAGGTACAGGGGGTCACTTTTGCTCAAGCCCCTACAAGGTTGCTTCTGGGCTCATCCCAATTTTCAGGTGAGGGGGAACACAGGTAAGTGAGGGGTCCCAACCTGATGAGCATCAGAGTCATGGTTGGCCTGCAGGTAGCCTGGTCTGTTTCACAGAGGAGGAACAGAAGATGCCCACAGATGCCAGGTAGCTTGTGGGGGCCCCCAGCTCAAGATGAGGGTCTCCTTACACATGGCCTCCCACCCTGTGAGCACATCAGGACTCAAGAATTGATCAAACACACCACAGATCTGGCCTGTGTTTCATATCTCCTGTTTTCATCCCAGAAATTGGCGTGTCTCCATCTGAATTTCTACCACAGGTTTGGTTCCAGATTACCACAGGAAAGCACAGAGCACTAGAATCGGTTTCATTTCCAAACATATACACAAAAATTATTTTCACAGTAGTCTCTTAGTGTGAACCAGCAAGATGGAAAAAGTCTGAAATATTGTGAGAATGATCACAGATGGGCACAGAGACACAAAGTAAGCACTGTTGTTGTTAAGTGCCATCGAGTCAGTTCTGACCCATAGTGACCCTGTATAGGGTTTCTGAGGAGCAGCTGGTGAACTTGAACCGCCGACCTTGCAGTTCAAACGGCTTTGCAGTCTGGTGCATTAACTCACAGAGAGCCACACCAGGACTCCGAAGATAAGCATAGGCTGCTGGAAAAATGTCATCGACAGACAGACGTACTCGATGATGGATGACCACAAACTTCCAGTCTATAAACGATGCACAATAAAGTAGGGACAATGAAATCAGGTCTGCCTGTACACAGATGAAATAGTTTTTGAAAATTAAATGTCTTGCATCAAAAGATTTTACCAGAAGAGTAAAAAGAGAACTCTCAGACTGGTGGGGTGGGGAGGGAACAAAAACACAATGACATATCAGAAAAGGGACTACTGTTTAAAATTTATAGTGTGCTTTAACACTCAAAAAGAAGATAAATAATCCAATTAAAAACGGGCAGAGAACAGGAACAGACACCTCATTAAAGAAGGCATTCGGGTAGCTAGCAAACAGAGGAAGAGATGTTCACAATCACTAGCCATTAGAGGGATGCAATTCAAGACAACGAGATATCATCTACCCCACAATTAACAGCAAAGGTCAGAAACCCAGAAAATAACAAATGCTGGAGAGGGTGTGGAGAGACTGGGACCCTCCTACACTGTTGGTGCGACTGGAAAATGGTACAACCACTGTGGAAAACGGTCTGGTGCTTTCTCAGAGGGTTGGAACTAGAAATGTCGTAAGATCCAGCAATCTGTCTACTTGGTATAGATCCTCAAGAAACAAGAGCTGTGATATGAATAGATACATGCATACCCATGTTCACTGCAGCTTTATTCACAAGAGCAAAAAGACGGCGAGGGCCTGGATCTTTTGCATAGTATTACACACAGTGGAATACTATGCAACCCTGAAGAATACCAATCTCATGACGTAGATGAACCTGGAGGATGCTGAGTGAAATTAGCCGATCCCAAAGATACAGATATTACCTCCTGTATCGACTATATTTTACAGTAGACCACTATTGTAAAAGGAGTCCTGGTGGGGCGCTGTGGGTTAATGCGTCAGACTGCAAAGCCATTTGAACTGCAAGGTCGGTGATTCAAGCTCACGAGCTGCTCCTCGGAAACCCTATACAGGGTCGCTATGGGTCGGAACTGACTTGACGGCACTCAACAACAACAACAACATGATGGTTACAGGGGGTGGGGTGGGAGGGAAAGGAAAATTGTTCACTGGGTAGAATGTGGATACATGCTAACTTGGCTGACAGGGAAGACAGTTGGGAAGAAAGGGAAGAGAAAAAGAAGAAGGAAGGGGAAAATTAAACATCTAAACGCCAAACAATACTCAAATTCTTACACTGCCCAGACTTACTGGGTGGGTCAAGACTGAGGACTCCCTGAGATGATTGTTCTGAAATATTCTTTACACTCTGAACTGAAACTCCCCCTGAAAGCCGGCCACCTTTCAGCTAAACAACAGACTGTCTGAGAATATAAACATCATCTGTGAGTACTGTAAAACCATGGTTCTTAAAGAAACCGCCCTTGTGAGACCAGACTATCAACACCGACTGGAAAGCAAAGATGAGAGGATAGGCAGAGGGTCAGGGATAAAGAACAAATGAGAAGGCATTGTGAAAATGTCACCAATGTCACTGAGCAAACTGAAAATGCCACCGAGTCGGTTCTGACTCACAATGACTCTGTATACGGATTCCAAGTAGTGGCTTATGGGTTTGAACCGCTGACTCTGCAGTTCAAGCTGACTTTAGGTCCAGTGTTTTATCCTACAGAGCCACACCAGGACACAGTAAACTGCTCCCTCTAAGGTTTCCAAGACTGTAAAGCTTTACAGAAGGAGATGGTCTCATGTGTCTAATGCGGAGCAGCTGGTAGGTTTGAACCACTGACCTTTGAATTAGCAGGGCAACACTTAACCCACTGTGCCACCACGGCTCCTAATTGCATGCCAACCAAAATCACAAGTACACCCACTGCCACTGAGTCAATTCTGACTAAGGGAGACCCTGTATCAGGTTCCTATCCCCGCTCATAGTGACCCAATGTGCAAGGTTTTCAAGGAGCAGCTGATGAGTTTGAACTGCTGACTTTGCAGCCCAGTGTTTACACTACAGTGCCACCCCAGGACTCCGTCTGTGGTGACTCTGTAAGAGCGAACTGCTTCCTAGGGTTTCAGAGGCTGTAAATCTTCACAGGAGCAGAGAGCCTCATCTCTCTTCCTCAAGAGCGGTGGTGGGTTTGAACCATCGGCCTTTTGATTATCAGTCCAATGCTTATCCCACAGTGCCACCTGGGCTCCTTAACAAGTTGTATAGAAATTGTGAAATGGGAACCTAATTAACTGTGCAAACTTTAATCAAAAACCTAACAAAATATAGTCCTGGTTCAGCGCTATAGGATAAGCACTCAACCTCAAGATCGGTTTAAACAAATAAATCAGGAGTTCAAACTCACCAGCCACTCCTTGGAAACCCTATAAAGATTGCAATGGGTCAGAACCGACTCAATGGCACTTAATAACAAACAACAAGGTACCCCTTGCCATCAAACTGATTCTAATTCACAGATACCTTGCATAGGGTTTCTGAGGAGTGGATGCTGGATTTGAACCACAGACCTTGCAGTCAGCAGTCCAATGTGTATGTATCCTATATGATATATGTGTGTGTATATATGTTGTGATTATATATATAAAACTCATCAATATATGTACTCAACATATATAATATATAACATATCATTAATATATGTTATAACACATATACAGAAATGGGCTCAAGCGTGGCAACAATTGTGAGGTTGGCCCAGGACTGGGCAGTGGTGCATAAGGGTCACTATGAATCAGTACCGACTCGATGGCACCAGACAACGACAACAGAGGTGGAACCCTGGTGGCACTGGTGTATAGGCACTGGGTTGCTAAACACAAGGTTGGTGTTTCAAATCCAGCCGCTGCTCCTAGGAAACCCTATACAGGGTGGCAGGTCTGTATCAGAGAGAAGCTGGGAAAGACTGCTAGTCTCCCACACCCTATACAGGGCGACTAGGGGTCAGATTGCCCTCGATGGCTGTGGCTGGAGAGGTGGGCTTCCGAGGGATAAAGAGAGCATGTGCATGTGCTTATGTGCCTGTGGGGGGTGTGAAGGGTGGGGACTGTGTTGAAAGGTCTTGTCCAGCTAGCCTGCTATGCTGGGCAGGAGCGGTTGGTGGGTTTGAACTGCTGTACTGGGAAGGGACGGCATCCAGCACTGCAAGGAAAATAAATACGCATGCCGCTATGTCGAGTGGCCCAGCTGCAGGTGGCTCAGGTGCCTCGGTAACAGAATAGGGCACCACAGTGGCAGTGTGATTGAATCTGCTCCCTCTGAGGGGTGCTGACCGCAGAAAAGACACAAAGGTCACCAAAAGGCAAACCACTCTCTTGCCCCATTGGCCTTCCCTGGAGGGGAGACCACCCAGGGCCCACCCCAAGAGCAGGGCACATCGCCTTCCACAGCATGTGGATGAGTGAAGAGGCATGCGCCCCTGACACCAGGAACAAAGGCCTGTTTCACTTACA